AACCGGAGGGAAAATAAAGTTTTTTTTTCTTCTGGAGATGACATACTGTTTGGCTTGGCACTAAATAAAAGAGAGCTACACTTATTAAACACCTCAAATCACATTCTTTAACAATCAAAAATTGTATCTGAAATCTTTGTGAGTTGATAGAATCTGATCTGACTTCCAGTGCTCATATCAAATCAATGCCGTCAACAAGTCTTTACCAGAAGAAAAAAAAACTTTATTTTCCCTCAGGTTTATGACTGGGATTCCCTAAACATTTTTAAATGGTGTTTTTATGTGATCTCACTTGTCTTGTTGTTTTTAATGTTAGGCATTTTGAATTGACATGTGTATGAAATCCATCCATCCATCCATTATCTTCTACTTGTTCCAAAGTCAGGTCTCGGGGGCAGCAGCTTGAGCAGGGAAGCCCAGACATCTCTTTCCACAGCACCTCTTCCAGCTCTTCTGGGAGGACTCCAAGGCGTTCCCAGGCCAACAGAGAGACATAGTCTCTCCAGTGTGTCCTGGGTCTTTCCCGAAGTCTCCTCCCAGTCGGACATGCCTGAAGCACCTCCCTAGGGAGGTGTCACAAGGGCATCCTTACCAGGTGCCCGAACCACCTCAACTGGCTCCTCTTGATGTGGAGGTGTATGAAATGTGCTTTATAAATAAAGTTGCCTTTTCTTGTCACATTTGAAACCAAATACAGAAATAAAAAACAGATTATGTTAGATATGATTAAGAGCTAGAAGCAAATACATTTTTAGAGAAACTTTGTGAACAAATGAAAAAATATATGTGTGTCAAAGATGGTACAAAAAGTCCAAAAATTTAGATAAAATTCCTCTAAAAAAAGACTTGAACAGACCATCTGTCAAGCATGGTAGTGGTAGCATCAAGGTGTGGTATGGATAAATTACATAAAGAGGATGGAGTTATGAAGAAGGAGGGCTACCTCCAAATTCTTCGACTTCTCCTCAAATCAAGAGCAGAATGGATGAAACTCTGATACAGTTGACTTTTCCGACAGGACAGTGATCCCAGACTCTGATCAAAACTGGTTTCTGATTGGATGAATCAGGCTAACTGGGTTGGTCTTCTCAAAACCAGGACCTCAACTTGGAGGAAGATTTGTGAACTTTGCTTAAAAGCCAGGCCAAAATAAATGGTTCAATGTTCTTTATTGTCATTTGCATCACATGTGGTACATGAGGTAGAATGAAATTGTGTACACAAGGTCCCAGTTACACCCCTAAATAGCAAAAATATACAGTATAAAAAGAAACAGTATACAAGGATCTAAGTTATACGCTAAACAATAATAATAATGTAAAATAATACGGTGTATTAAACAGAAGGCACCAACCCTGTTGATGAATTGTGGTTCGGTTTGTGTGCTGTCACGGTTGAACCACCATCTGAACTTTATGTCTCCACTGTAATCATCACCAGAGGACAGCAGACCCCCGTGGTCACAAACACTAATCAACTGCAGGCTTCTGCTTGGAGTCCCTGAGACCCATAAAATGCTTTAATCTCCTCCTCTTCCTCTTCCTCCTCCTCCTCAGGCTTTGCTGTGAACCTCCAGGTGATCCTGGCCAACCCGCGGGCACAGTTCAAGAGGCGAGGCTCCCAGCCAGGGATGCAAGAGTCCGACTTCCTGAAACAGATCACCAAGGTGTCCGAGCTAGAGCCCAAAGCTAACAACTGCACACGGGTCAGTGATATCTGTCACTATGGCAACACAATCAAATGACTGTTGACAGTAAAGATATACAGTGTATGTTGGTTTATTTTTATCTTTAGTCGATCAGGAAACACACTGGAGAGTTCAAATATTTTACGAGAGTTTTCTAGTTAAAACGGGCAGCAGCTCCAACCACACGTCACATATGAGAGGTCATTAAGGCAACAGGCAATAAAATAACTAATGGAAGTCAAAAGATAGACATAATTTGTACAGCGGTCAATGGCATATATCATCAATCCAAATATTTGTTTCCAGATGTTTGTGCATTGAAAATGTATGAAATTTGTTTCAAATCACTTGGTGAGATGAGTTTCTTTATTTCCATTCTGCAAAATGTAAATAAAAAAGAATGCAATGATTTGACGTAGTAAACATAGGAAAAAAAACTGTACCATATTTATGAAAACTTGTGGTCATTTTGATATAAATGGCAGTGATCATGTCAAAGAGGTGGGTCAAGGGGAAACAAAAGGCTGTTAAAGTAAGAGGGACAGATAAGAAACAAGATCTGGTCTGTCAGAGGACTGGATATTAAAAAAGAGCATTTTAAACTGAATCCATCAGAAATAAAGATGGGCAGAGGTTCACCAGTGTGTGAAAAGCTGCATCTAAAAACAGCAGAACAATTTCAGAATATCATTCCTGTGTAAAATTGAACCTTCTTTACTTTTAAAACACAGTTAAAACATTTATATAAAACAAAAATTAATTGTGGGACTTGTATTCTCAAATATCAGCCCCATCTGTGTCACATGGTGCTGCCAGACCGGGCTCAGCAGATGTGGTCAGTCCTGTACAGTTTGACATGTCTGGATATGTATGACCCCATCACAGCAGCAGGTCACTGCAGGACGTCTCTCCTCACCATCGACTGCATGAGTCACAGCTAGAGCTCCTGGCTCTGTCTAAACCTGGACCACACTGCCTGAATCGGACCGGGCTGGCTCTGTAGACCCATCAGTTCTTGTTGTGCATCTCAGACAGCTCAGATGGATGGCGGTCATCAGAAAGCAGCACTGCTCCTGCTGGCTCTCTGCTGTATGAAGCCTCTCATCGCCCTGACAGAGCCCACTTTAAAGGCTGCTCAACACAAATGGATCTAATGGGCTGTATTTTCTATGTTATTTCAAACCACACATAACACATGCTGCTAAACATGAGAATAGATCTGGATCAAACATCAAGACCCTTTTTACTCCTGATGAAACAACCACACCCAGACTGAATGTTCTGGAACCGTCCAGATGACCTGACTGAACATTGTTGGATTGTATACCTGCATTATTGAGCATGGACTTTGGTGTTTTGAACCAGTTTGACATGACTGTCGAAGAGGGAGAGGGCGGCACCGGAGGAGAGAGCGTGCTCCAGAGACCATCTTAGCACCAACGGAACTAGGTTTTTTTTTTTCAGGAGAGAATCAGTTTTATTTGGTGTTTCCTCAAACTGATGAACCCTTCTGGATGGAGGGCAAAATGTCTCAGCACACAAAAAGAAACAGTCCAGATGACCTGACTGAACATTGTTGGAACCACACCCAGAGCTCATGAAACTGGGTCTGAATGTTGATTTTCTGAAGAATGTTTCTGAACATCTGCATTTCTCCAGTTTACTGTTGGTGATAAGGTACTGGTGCACTAACTGTTTATTAAAAAAACATGGACGGACTTCTCACCACAAGTTTGACTCAGTTTTGTGTTTTTGTGGTCCCTGAGTGATGACTGGATCACCTGGTTCTGCTTGAGTTTCTTCCTGTTAAATGAGAGTTGTTCCTCTCAACTGCCCCCCCCCCCCTTCCCATCCACCCCTGCATGCTCAGGGTGGGAGAGTGAACTGAAGTGATTTGATCCAATCGGTTGGTTTCCACAGACTTTTTCTTTAGTGCCCTCTGTTGAATGAGATGCATGTGTTGGCATGCACAGTCCACATCAGGGGTCCCCAACCCTGATGGATCCACAACCCTGGTACGAAGTCGTCCCCAACCCTGATGGTTCCCCAACTCTGGTATTCAATGGTCCTCAGCCCTGATGGGTTCACAACTCTGATGGGTCTCCAACCCTGCTGGGTGTACAGCCCTGGTAGTTAGGAGTCCCCAACACTGATGGAGCCACAACCCTGATGGGTCCCCAACCTTGATGGCTCCACAACCTTGATGGCTCCACAACCCTGATGGGTCCCAACCTTGATGGGTCCACAACCCTGATAGGTCCCCAACCTTGATGGGTCCACAACCCTGATAGGTCCCCAACCTTGATGGATCTACAGCCCTGGTACTCAGTGGCACCCAACACTGATGGGTCCACAACCCTGATTGATCCATAACCCTGATGGGTGTACAGCCCTGGTAGTTAGGGGTCCCCAACCCTGATGGCTCCACAACCCTGATGGGCCCCCAACCTTGATGGCTCCACAACTCTGATGGGTCCCAACCTTGATGGGTCCACAACCCTGATCGGTCCCCAACCTTGATGGGTCCACAACCCTGATGGGTCCACAACTTTGATGGGTCTACAACCCTGATGGGTCAACAATCATTGTACTCAGTGGTCCCCAACCCTGATCATGTGGACCCATCAAGGTTGGGGACTGATCAGGGTTGTGATGGGTCCACAACCTTGATGGGTCCACAACCCTGATAGGTCCACAACCCTGATAGGTCCACAACCCTGATGGGTCCCCAACCTTGATGGGTCCACAACCCTGATGGATCCACAACCCTGATGGATCCACAACCCTGATGGATCCACAACCTTGATGGGTCCACATCCCTGATGGATCCACAACTCTGATGGATCCACAACCCTGATGGATCCACAACCCTGGTACTCAGTGGTTCCCAACCCTGATGTTTCCCCAACTCTGGTACTCAGTGGTCCCCAACCCTGATGGTTTCACAACTCTGATGTGTCCCCATCCTTGATGGGTCCACAACCCTGATGATTTCCCAACCCTGGTGCTCAATGGTCCCCAACCCTGATGGGTCCACAACCCTGATGTATGTACAGCCCTGGTAGTTAGCGGTTCCCAACCCTGGTGGGCCCACAACCCTGATGGGTCCACAACCTTGATGGGTCAACCACCCTGATGGGTCCACAACCCTGATGGGTCCCCAACCTTGATGGGTCCACCACCCTGATGGGTCCATAACCCTAATGGGTCCACAACCCTCATGGGTTCACAACCCTCATGGGTCCACAACCCTGATGGGTCCACAACCCTGATGGGTCCACAAACCTGATGGGTCCGCAACCCTCGTGGGTTCATAAACCTAATGGGTCCACAACCCTGGTACTCAGTGGTCCCCAAGGTCCAACCCATTTCCAACTTACCTGATTCAAATAGTTTAATGACCTCCTCAGTATCTCATCAAGTTCTGCAGGAATCTGGTAATCACTTATTTAATTCAAGTGTGTGAAAAGAAAGAGTAATATAAATCTTGTAGGATAGTGGGTCCTGAAGATCCGCTTTGAAGACCACTGCATAGTCACAAAGTCATTCAATGTGTTTGTTCTTTTTGATGAATTTGTTTTGTTTATTTTGTTTATTTTAAATGAATGAATAAATTAATTTTAAAAAATGTCACCAAGTCATGGACTCCATGTTATGAGAACCTACAGGACCTTCAAAAACGGGTACAGACAACTGAACAACAGTCACACGAGACATGCCATGTTTGAATAATGAAACCATAAAGTGTTTGTTAAAATCTCACTGACAGTTTGTAATGAAAGCTGAGTAAAAACCAAAACCAGTATTTGGACTTAGAGTTGATCTGTGGGAGAGGAAGTTACCTGTAGTGTTTAGTGCAGAGGAAACCATGAAATAATTTGAGGGGGGTTTGATCATAAACATATATACATGGTTAAGAGGATGCTTGAGTGGAGCACTATGTCTGTTGCATCTTAGCTTAGCAGTAACTGTGATGCTGTCAGACGCTGCAGGTGTAAGAGACGTGGTGTGTTCAGGTGCATTAAAATTGAAATGTCTTTAAAACCCCACACCTTATTGTCCTCAGAGAAACATCATTTAGTTGAGTAGTGTTGAACACATGTAAAAAAAGTCCAGTGCTGATGTTTTTTTTATTTCTCTATAAACACAAATAGTGCCGATCTGACTCTGTGTGTTAAAGTGTATTAAAGTTAAAATGTCTTTAAAACCCACAGCTGAATTGACACAAAGTTGGTGAGAAACATGATTTAAATTAAAGTAAGGAAATCTAGATGAAATGTTGCTTTTTTGTACACTCGTGTACAATTTTTAGCACACCGATGCGCATGCACGCGCGCACACACAAAATATAGTGTCCCCCCCACATTACAGATGCTTCTGACGCCCATGGTCTCAGCTAACATCTGTCTTCCACAACATGAAGGTTCACCTGGAACCAACAAGTGGGAAACTACATCCTGCTTTACCACATGGGCCACATTCTGGGCCCGCTCAGTAATTCTCTGGTTGGTTAGAGAGAAATGTTTCAGGCTGGGAACTGCTGAAGCATCACTTTCAGATGGCTGCTGCTGCTGCAAGGTCTGAACTGGACTTTCAGAACCATGAAGCCATTCTGCTGCTGAGTCTGATCTGGGTGGGCCATTTGTCATCAGACAGGAGGTTTTCTTAGTTTATATCTCATCACTTTGTGCTTCAAACATTTCGTGAAGCCTTTTACAACAAACACATCTACAACTTTTGAACTCACATGTTGGATATCAGGATTTTAGGAAAATAAACACTTTTTGTTGTTTTTCTTTGCGAGGAGGAAGACAGTATTTTACATTTTGTCTTCAGCTGTTTAGGTGGTTTTTTTTTTTAAATTTACTTTCAAAGTTTTTCTTTGGACTTTGGCTGATTACAAACAGATTTTCAGTCCAGTGAAATAGTCAAATCAATTTAAACAAAAGCATTAAACTGTGGAATGAACAAGGGATGAACTTGTGTTGTCAACAAATAAAAATTGACAACAAAGAACC